CCAAGCTTACAGGCACCTGACACCCAGCACCCCTCAAGACTCGGCAAAGCACACTCATTTTATTTCCCTCCTGTAAAGATCGGCAGCACTTTCTCTTCCATCAACTCTCCGTTTAAAAGGAACCTGAGTGCACCCTGGATCTCATGTAACGGCACTCAGTGAAACCTGAGGCTCTGAGCTGATTACAGCGCTTGTTCAGCCCCTGAGATTGAAGCGTGATAAGTGTCTTGGCTTGAGTCCTAGCAGGATGGAACAAACAGACCTGATATAAAAGCCTATTTCCCTTGCGACTGCTGCCTGGATCTCTCTGGTGCCACTCATAGTACCACACCTTACCTGTCAGATACGAAGATCCAAGGGCTGTAGTCCAAGTGGCTCTGGGACCCAGGAAGAGCACCACACCTTGCCTGCGCCCTCACCTGTCACCCAGGAGTCCCCCATGATGATGCAAAGATCACCCGTATCCGATCATGAGAGTAAGGACCCATCAGAAAGACACAGAGAAATGGCCAGAAGCCCAAACTGGTGGGGTTCGATTCCATCAGTAGGTATCAGGGCCTGTGTGACTGCCTTTCTCCACAGTTCTTCTCCTCCATAGAACTTATCCTGGTAGCTCATGACCAGTGTTTACCCAGCATCCTCCCAGACTGTGAACTCCAAGAGCACAGAGTCTTCACTTGCCTTGCTCACTGAGGGCCCCCCACCCCCGGGGCCAGAAGTCACTCAATAAAAGCTTATGTATTCACCCAACAATTGTTTATTAACGCCAATAAATGCCAGGGCCCGTGCCACTCGTGGGAAACGAGGAAAGAACAAGTTGGGCAAGGTCCTGACCCTTGGAGGTTGGTAGTGTACAGAGGTTGAAAATAAGCCAATGGCTGTGTTCGCAAAGTGTGTTATTACAGTTGCAGAACCAGCCTCCATTCCACACATACTGTGTATGACCCAGGTCCTTGTCACTTGTCAACAATGCCGGTGCATCATCACCCAGGAGTCTAAAACTCAAAAGCTCTCTCTCCTGTCACACTTCCCCATCCCTCTTCGGGCCTCTCTTATCTCGCCTATTCCTGCTCGGAGGGGCCCCTCCTAGCTACCCAGCAAAAACCACCTCTGGGTACCCTCCTCCTCTACATCTTCCCACTGGCAGCTCCTGTTCCATCCCGATCCCAGCTCAAGGATCACCTCCTCGGAGGGGTCTTCCTTGACTACCCTGCAAAGCCCTCTCCGAGACCCTCCTCTTTTCCCCCTGACAGCTCCTGCCCCATTCGCGTCTCGGCTCAAAAGCCACCTCCTCGGAGGGGCCCTCCTTGGCCACCCTGCAAAGCCACCTCCCGGCCCGGGTCCCCGCGGCGCCCAGCCTACTTTGGCGGCGCCCAGCCCTGGGCTGCACAGGCCCGCAGGCCGCGGGACACTCACGTCTCGGAACTGCACCAGGCCCTTCTCGCCCAGCGCGCTCAGACACTCGTATGCGGTGCCCGACTGCAGGAAGAGCTGCGCCAGGCACATGCTCTCGCTGCGGAACAGGGAGCCCATGGCGGCGTCGCCTCGCTCAGCCGCCGCGGCCCGCGCACCGGTACCATGGGGCTCCGCACCGCTGCCACCGCGGCCACCGCTCAGCCGCCGCTCAGCCGCCGCCACAGCTACCCGCCGCGCCCCGCCCACCGCCGCAGCCGGTTCCGGTTCCGCCCCGGGGAACCGCCCATCGCAAGCTAGCCAATGAACGAGCGGGATTGTGGGCGTCCGTCACTACGGCTCGTCCAATCGGTGCACAGGAGGCGGGAACCCTAACTGGGTTGACCCTAAGCCGCTTTTAGAGTTTGTTGTTTCGTTGGGGTAGAGTTAGTTTTGTTGAGAGGGGAATCTGGCTGTGGCGCTCAAGCTGGCCCGGAGTTCGCCATCCTCCTGCCTTAGCTTCCCCGGTGCCAGGATTGTAGGTGTGCCCCAGTGCAGCCAGAACCTTTGGAAGACTTTTGTTTTTTCGAGTCACAGTCTATGTAGCCGGGCTGTCACTATGTAGTCCAGGCTGGCCTCGAACTCAGAGATCCACCTGCCTCTGCCTAGGAGGTGTCATCACGCCCGGCCCTTTTAAGACTTTGATCCTTCCCCTCCCCCCCTTTTCTTTTTGAGTCAAGGTCTCACTATGTAGCCCTGGCTGTCCTGGAACTCACTATGTAAGCCAGGCTGACCTCCAACTCACAAAGATCATCCTTACTACAAGTGCTGAAATTAAAGGTGTGCACCACTGTGCCCCGCGGACTTCTTTACTTTCTTTATTTTTAAGAATTTCATACATGTATACAACAAAAATATCATAAATTCATCATCCCGTTTCCCTTTCCAACTCCCACAGTATTCCAAAACATTTCGAACAATCCAAATCAATTTCACGTCTTTTTTTTTTGTGATGATCCAATAAATCCAATTAATGCTGCCCAGGTGTGCATGGGTATGGGGCCATGCACTAGTGGATGGGAGACCCACTTTCATTTATCTATTTATTTATTTATTTTTAATTTTTTGAGGTAGGGGCCCATGTATCCCAGGCTGGTCACAAACTCTTGAAGTAGCTAAGGATGACTTTGAACTCCTGATCCTCCTGCCTCCAACCTCCCACCCTCTTACCCTCAGTGCTGAGATTACAGGCAAGCACTATGACATTGGGTCTGTGTGGCCTGGGGATGGACCCCAGGACTTCATACATGACAGGCAAGAACTTTTAATAACTTCAGCAGTTTGGTGGTGGTTGTTGTCTTTGTATGAGTCCTAGGGTCTGGGGATAGCTCAGGAGTGAAGAGCACTTACAGCCCCTGCAGTAAGTTTTGGGGTTCCCAGCACCCAGGTCAGGTGTCTCACAACCACCTGCAACGCCTTCTTCTGACCTCAAAAGGCTTCTGCCACATATACACTCAAGCACACACATAAATGAATCTTTTAAAAGGATTTTTATTATTTTAAGGAGTGTGCGTGCACGCATGTGCACATGACTTGCAGAAGCCAGAGGATTCAGATCCGCAGGAGAGGGAGTTGTAGTGAGCCACTAGACGGGGGAACTAAATTCAGGTTTTATGAAAGGGGAACATGTGCTCTTTACCACTGAGCCATCTCTCCAGGCCCAATAAATAAATATATGTTTAGGGGGTGTCTTTTTGCGGGGGGGTTGTGTTTAAAGACAGGGTTTCTTTGTGTAGCCTTGGCTGTCCTGGAAATAGCTCTGTAGACCAGGCTAGCCCCAAACTCACAGAGATCCACCTGCCTCTGCCTCCCGAATACTGGGATCAAAGGCATGCACCACCACTGCCCGGCCAGGAGGAGAGTCTTAACCACTTTGTATGCCATAAAGTTCTGTTCCAAGTATAGAATCCTTTGGTTCTTAGTGAAGATACACAGGGTGCAGCCATCATCCTAAGGCAGTCTGAGAGCATTCTGTTAACCTCCAAGACATCACTGGCTGGCTTTGTCACAGTGGATTTGCCAGCCATGGAACTAGGCCCTATGTGGTGCAATGTGTGGCCTCTGCAATCCCACTAGCCACAAGGCCAGCTTCCACACAGCTGTCGTGTGACCTCTGCAATAACATACAATCTGATGCATGCTTAAAATCTCTGGTTTTTCTCCTTGCATTCCAAATAAAATCCAAACCCCTCACCATAGTCCTGGATCCTTTTACTCAGCCACACCTCCTCACTTTTTCCTGGTCCACACACTTGAACTCTGGAATCCCTCAGTTTAAAACACTGGCCCACTGGACCTCATCAAAGCTGACTCCTTCATGTCTCAGCTCAAATGTCTCTGTACCAGTTAGTGTTTACTGTCAACATGACATAATGTCACCTGAGAAGAGGGAATCTCAGCTGAGGGCTGGCACAGATCTGATTGCCCTGTAGCCGAGTGTGCGGTGAATTATCTTGATTGCTGGTTGATGTGGGAGGGGCCCATTATGGGCAGTGCTGCCCCTGGATAGGTGGTCCTGGCCTGTTTAAGAAAGCTGACTGAGACATTGTGGTGAAGGCCTTTAATCTTAGTGCTCAGGCAGCAGAGGCAAGCGGATCTCTCTGTGTTCTAGGGCCGGGCTGGTCTACATAGTGAGTAATACAGCACTTTTAGACTATAAGCGATGAGCTGGGCGGCGGCGGTGGCCTTTAATCCCAGCACTCGGGAGGCAGAGGCAGGCAGATCTCTGTGAGTTCGAGGCCAGCCTTGTCTGGTCTACAGAGCGAGATCCAGGACAGGCTCCAAAACTACACAGAGAAACCCTGTCTCGAAAAACCAAAAAGAAAAGAAAAAAAAAAAAAAAGAAACTCTGTCTCAAAAACCAAAAAAAAAAGACTGTAGCGATGCTGAGCTGGCTCATGGGTAAAGGCACATCGTCTACACAGCCTGACAACCTGCCTTCCAACCCAGACTCAAGACAGAAGGAGAAAACTGACTGCCAGAGGTTGTCCTCCATGTTCTCGCACCTGAGCTCACTCAAACACACACAGACATGCACAATAAGAAATAAAATTTAATTTTAATCTAAAGAGCCTTTATAAGCATTTTCTAACCTTTTCTCTGGAATATGAGACAGTAATCAATCGATCCTTTCTTTATTCTTTTTTTTTTTTTGGTTTTTCGAGACAGGGTTTCTCTGTGTAGCGTTGGTGCCTGTCCTGGATCTCGCTCTGTAGACCAGGCTGGCCTCGAACTCACAGAGATCCACCTGGCTCTACCTCCTAAGTGCTGGGATCAAAGGTGTGTACCACCGCTGCCCAGCTCTTTTCTTATTCTTATATGCTTGCACTAAGTCTGATCAAAATAAAACCCCTGTGATTAGGAATTCGTGCTGGGCTTAGGTCTCTGACATTCAGGGACACCATCAACTCCCCTACAACCAGCAGGCAGCAAGAAGGACCATTCTGGACCACTTTGAACATCTGGATAATTGATTTAAATTCACTTAACACTAAGCATTTCTATAAAAATAGACATTTTGTTTATTAAAATGTTTCAGAGAGGCCAGGTATGGTGGTACACGCTTTTAATCCCAGCACTCCAGAAGCAGAAGCAGAAGATCCCTGTGCATTTAGAGGCAAACCAGGGCTACATAGTGAGACCCTGTCTCAAACCAACAGGTTTCAGAGAAGCACACAGGCCTACAGGGAGCCACTGAGTGGATGCTCTGACTCTTGGAGAAAACTCAATGGTAGATGGGAGTTGAGTGCCAGTCTTTGCACATTCTGATCCAAGGATGACTGAGGAGTGTCGCCAGCATGAGGAGGGCCAGCAGCATCAGGCCTTTGGCAACACACTGGGAATGGGGCTCTCCTGAAAGACAGCAAAAGACGACTTGTTGGGAACACAAAGGTCCTTGCACCCACAGATCCCCAGGGAAACCAGGAATGTTAAGCATGCAGGATTGTCCTCTCATAGGAGAGAATGTATAACCTGTTTTTCCATCCAGAAGGCTGGGAATTGGAGGTGATTCACAGCCTGGTGAACTATACTATCTGTAGGGCAAGGCCATATCAAGCTCCCACAACCAGAACCAGAGATGGTGAATAGCCCAAATGACCTGTATACTACTTGTATGACCGAGACGACAGCAGATCCTTCCCTAGGCCCCTAAGCTAGTACGGGTAGCCTATCTCTCCCTATCTTGAAAGAAAGGACATGTACTTTGAGTTGGGTTTCAATGTAATTATGTCTCCTTGTGCACCAGGAATCGTATTACATCAGGACACTTTCCCCCAAATTGTACTGTGCTTAAATATGCTGCCAATAAACCACCTGGCATCGGACTCCCGGAGTTTGATCCAGTCTGGCTAAGTCAGGCTGAACTAAATTTTCTTTTTCATCTCTTCAAGGTTTGTTACCCTGCCTGCCATGACATTTGCAGGGACCCCACCCCATCCTGTAACAACTGAGTTGTATCCTATCTTGACTCTGAAGATAATTATTTATTAACTATTTGTGATAACCATTAATAGTTAATAAAGCATCAACAGGGGTGTGGTTTCTTCTTTTAAGTCTTTCTATGTGTTTTAGGTTGTCTGTGACATTTATACATTGACTCTGAAATAGTTTTAATTGGCATAACATAATTGACAACATGCAGGAACCTGCCTTCCCTACCTTGGTAATACTGGGTCACAGGGTACAGAAGTTGGGGCCAGCACAGCTCATTCCGGGTACAGTCATACTCTGTGAAGTTGATCTGGAATCTGTAAGAACACACGAGAAGGTCGCAGGAAGAACAAGTGAGCAGCAGGAAGGAACCTGCTAGCCTGTCAGTCACTAGCTCACCTCGTCGGAGGGCGGGGCATCTGCGCAGGGATTTTAATGAACTGAACTGAGGCACTGAGGGGGAGGAGATCGGCCTTGTCCTCACAGGTGAGCCCACACTGGTACTGCCAGGTCACTGTGGAGAACCTAGAAGGGGAAGATTGTAAGGCAGCGTGGCTACCGTCCTTCGGAAGTCTGACTCAGGACCCCAGGGAATCCAAGTGTCGCAGCATCCATTTCTCAAGTCTAGACACAGAGAGAATCTGCCAGTCCCTATGCCCATCACTGGGTTCTCTTAGCAAAGATTGCTTTGTCTCCAACAGTCTATTAGCAGCTGACCATTTATTGAGGGCATTCCATGCCCGCAGCACAGAACTAAGGTGCTTTTAACATATTATGTTAAGGAATCCTCAAAACGGTACTGTGGGACTGGGGCATTGCTCAGTGGTGGAGCCCTGCTTAGGAAGAGAGGCCACTGGCTCCATCCCAACGCTCTGAAGTAGATCTGATGGGAAAAAGGCATCCCTCCTCCTATTCTGGTAAGTGCTCCCCAACGTTCTCTAGAGGAGGGGACACACCACTCGCCACTCTCCATTCAGTAGGTCAGAAGACACCAGTCTGAATCCAGAGCCTGCCTGTCACAGCTGTTGATGGTCCTGGCCATAGCACATGGCTCTGAAACATGTGACCCAGCTGGGCATTAAATGTAAGTCTGCCCAGATCTCTTTTGACAAGGCAGCCTCTCAGCGAGGCTGAGCTGGTGCTGGCCCTGTAGGACTGAGGAGGACATCCCTAAGAGTGAAGGCAGTCCCAGGGCAGGGCGAGCTGGAGGTGACAAGGCAGAGACCCTCTCTGAGCTTGCGGCATGGGAACTCTGCCAAACTGAACGGCCTGCATCACTTTTTGCTAAGTGGGACCTGTCACACGTGGGAGAGACGCAACACACAGATACCATCATTTCTCAGATGAGGCGACTTACATGTCAAACTGTCTAAAGCCTCACACAGTTCCGTGATCTGAACCTCTGGTGCTGGCAAAGCCTCCAGCCAATGGCCACACTCTGTCGTCAGGGTGTCACTCAGGCTCACGGTGTTAAGTACACTCAGTACTGCACACAGCAGCAGCTCTCACACAGGTTCAGTCTCAGACACAGTTTGTGCCTTCGGCTCACCACAGCCAGATCCCTAACAATCCCCGTTTGCAAGCGCGCAGATTCCCGCCGAGCATTTCTAGCCTCTGTCCTGCTCTAGCCTTTGGCAACTCTCAGGAGGGGACCACACCTTGTCTCCACGCCAAGGATCTCCTGCTGAGACACCCCTTCCACGGACCCAGCTTCGGCAACGAGGATGCGGATGGTGAGCTGGGCAGGGACTTCCGGGCAGATGCCATTTGCGCTGCTCAGGGGCAGGTCGGTACCTGTATCAGGGGCGTCAACACCTGCAGGAATGTCGAGTGAGACATCTGTTAAGAGCAGCCGTCCTATAGTGTCACACATGACACCCTAAGGAACGGAAGGTGACATGGCCTGGCTCCCAGTCCCGACTCTACTCTCTAGCAAGCTCTGACTGTCGTCACTCCATGGCTATGTGACCTCACGTCCACCCAGCAGAAACAGGTACTACTCACCTGGGTGGTGTCTAAATGCTTCCCTGTGTGGGTGAATGAGGTTCCCAACCCACATAATAAAACTAAGCATAAAGAGTCTGTGTCTGGAGCTGCAGAGATGTCTCAGCACTTAGGAGCACGGGCTGCTCTTGTGGATGACATAAGTTCAGTTCCCAGCACCAACATATAATTTCAGTTCCCAACAACCACCTATAACTCCAACTCCAGGGGATCTGATGCCCTCTTCTGGCCTCCAAGGGCACCAGCACACATATAGCATAAACTTACACACACACACACACACATACACACACACACACACACACACACACACACACACACACACACACACACACACAAATAAAAATAAAACCTTTTCTTAAAAAAGAGAAAATGATCAGAGTCTAAGCTTGTCCCTGAAAGCCCCCAAGTATTCTGTCGGGGACAATGCAGGACCACAGTAAAGAGACACAGGCTACACCCCCGTAATCAGATTGGTGACTACCCTAGCTGTCATCATAGAGCCTTCATCCAGTAACTGATGGAAGCAGATGCAGAGACCCACAGCCAAGCACCAGGCTGAGCTCCGGTAGTCCAGTCAAAGAGAGGGAAGAGGGATTATATGAGCAAGGGGTCAAGATCATGATGGGGGAATCTAGAGACAACTGAACCAAGCTCATAGGAACTCACAAACTTTAGACCAACAGCTGTGGAACCTGCATGGGACCGGACTAGACCCTCTGCATTCAGGAGACAGTTGTGTAACTTGGTCTGTTTGAGGGGCCCCTGACAGTGGGATCAGGATCTATCCCGGCTGCATGAGCTGGCTTTCTGGAGCCCACTACCTATGGTTGGATGCCTTGCTCAGCCTTGATGTCGGGGAGAGGGGTGTTGTCCTGCATCAGCTGAATGTACCAGGCTTTGCTGATTCCCCATGGAAGCCCTTACCCTTTTAGAGGAGGGAATGGAGGGTGGGTCAGAGGTGGGAAGGCTAGCAGGGAGCAGGAGAGAGGAATCTGTGGTTGGTATGTAATTAAAAATGAATTAAAAAATTCTTAAATTAAAAAAAAAAGTCACAGGCTATACTAGACGGTCATCGCCCTATCAGAAGTCATATAAAAAAGATATTTAAAACTCACCCTAGCATCTTTGGTTCCTATGGGTTGCATAAATAATCAGTTTCCTGCCTGGAGGCACTGTAACAACACCACCAAGCCCAGGGTCACAAGAGAGCAAGCTAGGCAGGCCCCTTAAAGCCACACCCCGGTCCCTGCTCAGTCCCCTACAAAGTGAACAATTCAGAGCCGAGTGACCGTCTCCACTTTCAGGCTGGTTCTTTTTGTGGACTGGTTTTGGATCTGGGAGGAAGTTGGTGCTGGGCTCAAACCCAGGGGCCCTGCACAGACTAGACAGGAAACTGAGTCACATTTCAGTCCGATTCACTTTCAGATCTTCCTGTAGAGAACTCTCCGGATCACGGGAGTATCTCCCCATTTCCTAGCACTCATGAATCTGATTTTTCCATATCTGCCCGTGCTGCGCGTTGCGCACAAATGGATTCGGAGGTCTAGGCTGTCTGTATCTAGGTCTTTTCCCTCAGCACTACCTTTTCAAACTCTCTGACAAAGTGGCTTCTAGAAACTACCAGGTCAGCTCTCAATGCCAATTTTCTTGGGAGCTCAAAACAGCAGTACATATTGTTTTCCCCATAGGTCTCCAAGCCCAGACTTGGAGGGTCTGGGGGTTTCCCGTGTGAAGCAAAAGCCATGGCAGAGCTGTGAAATGCTCCCTGCCTGCAGCAGAGAGCCCTAGTCAAATACATCGGGCTCTAGAGCCATGAGTGGTACCCACAGGCTCAACAGCAGTAGGCCTCTGTGCATGGCCACACACTCACGGAGGACCTCCAGCCAGCCATCACTCAGATCGCCGTAGTCCGAGTTGCCTCTCCTCGCGACGTGCGTCACTTGTATCAGCAAATCCAGCCTCTGGAGGACGTTCTCCCTGCGAGGGAGGAAGACGACACTTCTCAGCCAGTGGCCAGCAGGGCTTGTCCTCAAGTCCTTGCCCAAGACTGGCCACTTGGTCCTTGCTGGGAGCCCAGATTAAAGTTTGCTGGAGAAACTGGCATTAAAAACAGGGTGCATGTGTGTGGGTATAAGCTGGAGAGATGGCTCAGCAGTTAAGAACACTTGTTGCTCAAGCTGGGCGGTGGTGGCTCACAACTTTAATCCCAGCACTCAGGAGGCAGAGGCAGGCGGATCTCTGAGTTCGAGGTCAGCCTGGTCTACAGAGTGAGTTCCAGGACAGCCAGAGTTACACAGAGAAACCCTGACTCGAAAAACCGCTTCCCCACAAAAAAGAAAGAAAGAATGGTAAGCACGTTCAAACAGAAACGAGAACAGGCCTGTCTGCAGCAGTGTACACAGCCAAACAACAGAGAACGCAGCTGTCCATCAACCCAGGGAGATAAACAAGATGTGCTGTGGACAGACACAAAGGCAGTCTACGAGTCACCATAGAAACCAACGGAGTTCCAGAGCGTGCTGTGACATGGAAATATCCAGAACAGGCAAAGTCACAGGAGCAGAAAGCAGGGTACTTCGTACCCGAGGCTTTGGAGAGAAGACCTGGAAAGCAACTGCTTATACATACAGATTTCCATTTTGGGTGATGAAAATATTTTAGAACTAGATAGAACCTTTCATGAGATCATGAAAAGCCTAAATAAATGATATTCAACTGTTTATTTTTTTTGCTTGTTTCTAGGGGTTTTTTAAATAATTTATTGAACTTTACTTTATGTGCGTTGGTGTGAAGGTGTCAGATCCCCTGGAACTGGAGTTACAGACAGGTGTGAGTTGCCATGTGGGTGCTGGGGATTGAACCCGGGTCCCTGGAAGAGCAGCCAGTGCCCCTAACCCCTGAGCCATCTCTCCAGCCCTCGTTTTTAGTTTTTTAAGCATTTGCGTGTGTGTGCATGTACGCAGGTATGCATGCACCATGGCATACTTGTGGAGGTCAGAGGACAACTTCCTGAGTCAGTTCGCTTCCACCACATGGGTCCTGGTCTTGAACTCAGATCATCAACCTCAGCAGCAAATGCCTTCACCTGCCGAACCATCCCGAGACCCTGTTTGTTTGACAACCAACATGAGACTCACCTGAGCTGCGTACAGTTCTCATTAATCCCAACCTCCAGCAGGCAGCCAGCGAGTGCATTCTCTCCAAATAAAATGGGTCTCAGAGCGGCTGATGTGCACAAGCCCCTTCCAGCTGTAACAGAAAGATGAGTCTCCCACCGTTCTGCTAAATGCAAGTCAAGATTTACTTCCGAGATTTCCCTGGAAACTCTCTCAGCAGTACCCAAGAGGCTGAGACAGGAGCATGGTGGTTCAAGGTCAGCCCGGGCAACATAGAAAGACCTGGTTTCAATCAAACCAACAAAAAGTCTTATTTTTTTTTTCCTTTTTGAGACAGGGTCTCACCTAGCCCAGGCTGGCCCTGATTTGATTATGTAGCCAAGGATGACTTTGAACTCCTGATCCTCCTGCCTCCACATCCTAAGTGCTGGGATAATAGGGATGTGCCAGCACACCAGGCTCAACAAAACGAAACCAATAACGGAAAGTAAAAATAAAGTTTCCAGCCGGGCAGTGGTGGCGCACGCCTTTGATCCCAGCACTCGGGAGGCAGAGCCAGGCGGATCTGTGTGAGTTCGAGGCCAGCCTGGGCTACCAAGTGAGTTCCAGGAAAGGCTCAAAGCTACACAGAGAAACCCTGTCTCGAAAAACCAAAAAAATAAATAAATAAATAAAAATAAAGTTTCCAGTTTCCGCAAACTGGGTTATTGTTACGCTAACCCGATGTTTCCAACCTGTGCGTTGCGAACCCTTTGGGGGTCGCATATCAGATCTTTACACTACAATTCACAACAGTAGCAAAATTAGTTATGAAGTAGCAATGAAAATACTTTTATGGTTGGGAGTCACTACGACATGAGGAACTGTATTGAAGGGGTTAGGAAGGTTGAGAACCACTGGTCTAATCCTTCTGGTCCTTTCAAAGCCAAACAAAGACACCATTCTGTGCGAGAATTCCTGGACCAGATTCAGTGACTCCCTGCGAGCAGAGCTTTGCCCTTTCTGGCAGACGTGAACAACTCTCACTGCAGCACTGGATGTCCACTGTTCAGAGGGAACGGTTCTCTCGCCAAGGAGCAGCAGCATGCTGGCCACGGACAGCACAATCATGCCTGAACCGCTCTTACCAATACCCAGGACTTTAGGTATAACGTGCTAAGCATCCTTGGGGGGAAAAAAAAGCCACAGGAACACAAAAAGCAGCCCCTGCCCACACGCCATAAACCAATGTTTCCAACTCCAGTCTGTCAGGGAGCAAATGAGGAAAACCACATCACCTGGCTGCCAGAGGTGTAAGGCCGTGACATTCGTCCCGTTGGTGTGGAGGGCTCGGACCGGCTTGCCAAGCTGGTAACCTAGACACGGCAAACAAAACAGAGAGCTGGCATCTTCGCTCACATCAGACAGCCTCGGAGGCGGAGCTTTGTAAACACCACCCCTGTGGCCAGCACGGCAGCAGGTGTCCCCAACACTTGGAAGGCTGAGGCAAGAGGATGGCGTTTTCTACTTAATGCTTCCATTTTTTTTTTTTTTTGACTTACTCATTTTTTTTTTTTTTTTTTTTTTTTTTTTTTTTTTTTTTTTTTGGTTTTTCGAGACAGGGTTTCTCTGTGCAGCTTTGCGCCTTTCCTGGGACTCACTTGGTAGCCCAGGCTGGCCTCGAACTCACAGAGATCCGCCTGCCTCTGCCTCCCGAGTGCTGGGATTAAAGGCGTGCGCCACCACCGCCCGGCCGACTTACTCATTTTTAGCCAGGCATGATGGCACCCATGTGCTACCCGGTTCTCAAGATACGGAGGGAGGAAGCTCAGGACACAGAACCACTTACATTGAGGGCCATACCACATACCTAGCCACAGCACCAACAGTTCCCAAAACGGCCCCTCACAGCAACAGCCTACTTGGTGCATATTCATACATCCCTCTCCATCCCGCAGTGTGATGTAGTGCCAGTTCTACAAATCAGGAGCCAGTCAAGGGCAACAGACCATTTCTACTTCTGGCCATATTTCCCGCCATTCCTGAACACCAGCCTCCCCTAATGTATTGTATTTATCACTGCGTATCTAAAATATTACCAACTCCACATACGTTAGCACATCAGAGGCTGAGCAGCTCCACAGGGTATAACAGGCACCAAGGAGACCAAAAGATCACGAGATGAACAGATACATAGCAAGCTGGGGTTACCCTTCCCTTGACCACATGTGAATGAACATGGAGTCAGGAGACGTGAGCCCACGGCTTTGGTGGGCTAACCCACGGAGTAAGGGTGGCCTTAAGACAGCCGCAGTGGGGCTGGTGAGACAGCTCAGTTGTTAAGAGCACTGGCTGCTCTTCTAGAGGACCCAGGTTCAATCCCCAACACCCACATTGCAGCTCACAACTGTCTGTAACTCCAGTTCTAGAGAATCCAACTCGCTTACACAGACATACATGCAGGTCAAACACCACTGCACATAAAATAAAAATAAATAAACACACACACACACATACACACACAAAAAAAAAAGACAGCAGCAGCACTGAGAATCCCACCAGCACGGGCTGTGACTTCCTGCTGCAGGGATGAAGGACCCCGTCACCTAACTTTTCACCCCTCCTGTGTGCCAGCATCTCCCAAGCAGCTGGGAGGGAAACAGGGTCTCCTGGAGATACTGTCACAACTGCTCTGACTCAGGTGATAATGGCTGCCACACCCAGAGGGCCACACAACAAGAGTATCAGGTTCCTCAAAAGGCCAAGGGCACCAGGTGGTGGCACAGGGCCTACAATCCTACCTGCTCTGAAGGCTGAGGGAGGGCATTTCAGACACAGAGTTCAAAGCCAGCCTTGGCTACACAGGACACCGTGCCTCAAAAACAAGATTTAAAAAACCTCCCAGGAGCTGGGGAGACGGCTCAGCGGTTAAGGGCACTTGTTGCTCTTCCAGAGGAACCAAGGTAGGTTCCCAACACCCATGCTGGACAACTCACAACTGCCTGAAACTCCAGATCCGGGGAATCTGGCGCCCTCTTCTGATCTCCATGGGCGTCTGCATACAAGTGGTACATGTCAGTGAACACACACACAAAAACAAACAGAAAATAAAAATAATTTAAAAAAAAAGCGACCCGAGAGATGGCTCAGTGGTTAAGAGTGCAGCCTGCTCTTCCAGAGGACACAGGTTCAATTCCCAGCACCCACATGGCGGCTCACAACTGTCTGTAACTCCAGTTCCAGGGGATCCGACAGACATATGCAGACAAAACACCAATGCACATAAAATAAAAATAAATCATTAAAAACACCACACACACACACACACACACACACACACACACACACACACACACACACAAAATAACCAGGGGCGGTGGTGGCACACGCCTTTAATCACAGCACTGGAAGGAAGAGGCAGGCGCATCTCTGAATTCACATAGAGAATTCCAGGACAGCCAGGGCTACATGAGAAACCCTATGAAAAACAAAGCAAAACAAAACCAGAAAAAAAAAAAAAACCCACAAAATACAAAAATGAAAGACCAGAGGCTAGAGAGAATAAAATGTGCGTTTAAAGCAACATTGCATATTAAAATATTAAGTTGCCATTGGAGAAAGTGGACTGCCACAGGATAAAGAAACAGGCCACGGAGACGAACACAACTCGGGATAGTTCCTTACAACCATGGGACAGCCCAGGGAGTGCCACCCTGAGATCCGTGCAGGCCAGCACTGTCACCCTACCTGGATTTCCAGAAGATTCCTTCTCATCACCACTGTTATGGCTTAAAAACTTCACTGTGAATCTCTGGGCCACTGTTCCTAGAGATAAAAGAAATGGGAGACATAATGTACACTATTTCATTGGGAAAAGAAATTAACTCCCATGAGCCAGACATGGTGATGCAATGCTGTAATCACAGCCCTCAGAAGGCTGAGGCAGGAGGATTGCTTTGAGGTGGAGGCCAATCTGAGGTACACAGAAAATTCCTGCTAAGGGCTACAAAGTGATACCCTATCCTTATTTATTTATATATTTATTTACTTACTTACTTATTTATATTTTTTTTATTTTCAAGACAGGGTTTCTCTGTGTAACCCTGGCTGTCCTGGAACTCACTCTGAAGACAAGGTTGGCCTTGAACTCAGAGATCCACCTGCCTCTGCTTCCCGAGTGCTGGGATTAAAGGCATACACTAGCATGCCCAGCTTATTCTTTTCCTTCTTTTAAAATTATGTTTTATTTAGTGTGCATGTAGGTGTGTGGGTGCACACGCATTGGCACACATGCTTATGTCTGAAGGCAACTTGCAGGAGTCGGTTCTGGGGGAATCAGGCTCAGGTTGTCAGGTTTGGCAGCAAGCACCTTTCCCAGCAGAGCCATCTTGCCAGCCCAATGATACTATTTATTTATTTTTTTAGAGACTTTAGGCTGGCCTCAAACTCACAGAGCCTGGCTCTGCCTCCCAAGTGCTGGGATTAAAGGCACTTGCCACCATTGCCCTGTGAGACTTTATATTTAATTACATGTATATGTGTGTCAATATGTGCATGCCACTGCAGGTGTCTGTGGAGACACTTGATCTCCTGTGAGCTGTCATGTGGGTGCTGGGAACTGAACCCGGGTCCTCAGGAAGAACAGCCAGTGCACTTAACCACTGAGCCATCTCTCCAGCCCAGGTACCGTTTACTTTAAAAATCACTTTTTTCCCCCTTGTTCCTTTGAGGCCGGGCTTCACTATATGTATCTATGCTGCTCTTGAATGCACTATCAATCCTCCTGCCTCAGCCTCAGCCTCCTGAGTTCTGGCATTATGAGGTGTGAACCACCATGCCTGGCACAAAATTACATTTGATGTCCAGACTTCTGCTGGGTAGTAGTGGCAGCGGCGGTGGTAGCACATGTCTTTAATCCCAGCACTCAGGAAGCAGAGGCAAGCGGATCTCTGTGAGTTCGAGGCCAGCCTGGTCTGTAAAGCAAGTTCCAGGACAGCTAGGGCAATACAGAGAAACCCTGTCTTGGGGGGGAAAAACCAACAACAAAGACTACTGACCCCTTGATTCAGTGATAAACACGCATGATAAACAAGTATGGCTTCACTGGAAGGGTTATAGTTACAGAAACCACTGGAAGATAAAACACTTGAAACTCCAAGCATTCCCGGCCCCACGTCAACATTACCCTTCTGGTGGGCACTGACTTCTGCCCTGATGATGGTGATGTCTAGTCCGCTGATGGAATTATTCTGCCATCTGAAAACATAATGCTCTTCCACGTTCACATTTCTGGGGGCAGATCCACTGTTTAAAAGTCTGTCTGCAAAGAAGAAAAACCCTCTCTGAGTTGAAGTCTGCTACTGGGGCTCTCTCTGCCTGAGTGGGCTCCCCCACAGCCCATCGCTCCAGCTCCCTAAGGAAGCCAGGCCACTGTTTCCTCCATGGAGCTTCCTGTGGTCCCAAGTCAGTGAGCCACGTCCTCTATTCCACGTCAGTCCCTGAATGATTCTGTCCCTTTTCTTTGATTCCTGTGTCCCGGGTACAGAGTTCATATGAGAAGTGTGCATTAGGGGCACTCAGGCTCCAGAAGCAGAGGCTTGAGGCCGAGCAGCTAACTACTAGACAGTTTGAGTTCCAAACACACAGCCAGGAACAAGGTCATAACCCAATGGAAAGGAATACAAACCACACCTTCATTCAACACAAAGGGCTGCTGAAATCAGCCACACCCACACGCCTTCTCTGGCTGCATCCCAGCTGCGAAGCTCAACTACCAGGAAAGGCAGGCAGGAAAGGGGGCTGGAGAGATGGCTCAGATCCCAGGAACCCACAGCCAGCCAACTGAGGGAGGTCAGCTTCAATCCTGGTGCCGGCCATATGCAGCAAAGAATAAGACGCCCTGTTTCAAATAAGGTGAGAGGCGAGCACCCACAGCCAAGCTTGTGCTCGGGTTTCCATGCACGTGCCTGCACACACACACACACACACACACACACACACACACACACTCACACACACTCACACACACTCGCATGCATGCACGCGCACACACACACAAAGATTAGAAAATAAAACAGACAAGAACGAACATGCTGTGTCCTCAAGGGTTCTTAACAACCTAAGAGACACTTAATAAAAGGCTCTCAGAACCTGAGAGCTGGAGAGGACCCTGCAGTACATCCCCTCAGGGCCTGTGAGAGGGTGGCTGAGGTCGCAATAGTTCACAGAAGCCACCCAAGCAGAACATGTGAAAAAACTCTGCTGGAGCGTCCCCCCAACTCATCCCCCCAACTCTGCTGGAGCGTTCCCCAACTCTGCTGGAGTGTCTCCCCAACTCTGCTGGAGCGTCCCCCCAACTCTGCTGAGCCTCCATCAATTCTTTCTTAAAGATTGATCTATTTCCTCTTATTTAATGTGTACAAGGGTCCTGCTTGCATGTGCATGTAAGCACATGCACCATGGTGTGTGACTGGTGCCCATGAGGGCTGAAGAGGGTGTCTGATCATCTGGAACTGAAGTTATAGTTGTGAGAGATCATGTGGGTGCTGGGAACTGAACCCGGGTCCTCTGCAAGAGCAGCAAATGTTCTTTAGCGCTGAGCCATCTCTCCAGCCCCCCAATTTTTAATTTTTAATTATTTTGTGTGTTTGCACATGTGTAAATACGCCTGTGTGTATTTGTGTGCAAGCCCATGGCTGCATGTACAGGTCAGAGTTCAAGGTTGGGTATCTTTTTCAATCATTCTCCATCTTTTCTTTTTTCACATTTTTATTTATTAGTGTGTTTTCCTGCATGGGTACACACACCCTTGCATATAACTCACATACACACACACACACACACACACACACACACATGCATATATAGGTACAGGCTTGTCACGGTGCCCGAGTGGAGGTCAAAGGTCAATTTTCAGGAGTTGGTTGGCTCCTTTCACCACACAGGTCCCAGGGATTGAATAACAGGGGCTGGAGTGGTGGCTCGCGGGTTAAGAGCAAGGACTGCTTTTCCAGAGGACCCAAGTTTGGCTCCCGGCATCCCTGTCTGGTCACTTACAGCTGCCTCTAACTTTAGCTCCAGGGGATTCAACTCCCTCTTGTGGACTGGAAGAGCACTTGTACTGATGTGCACAAGCTCAGCCCCTGCCCCAGACACACACACACACACAGATAAAAATTAATCTTTAAAAAATTGTTTTAAAAAGCCAGGCAGCAGTGGCGCACACCTCTAATCCCAGCACTCAGGAGGCAGAGGCAGGAGGATCTCTGTGAGTTCGAGGCCAGCCTGGTCTATATAGGGAGTTCTAGGGCAGCCAGGGCCACATAGTGAGACCCTGTCTCAAGAATAAAATCAAATAGAAAAGAAACAGCACCTGTGTTTTGTAGAAGTGGCATGAACATGTAACACTGATGTACCTGGACCAGAGATGAGCTTGTCCAGGTCAGTGGCTTCCTCATAGGTTACTGTTGGTGTGACCAGGCCTAAAAGAACACAGAATTAATGTTGTTTTCATTTCAACACTGTGGCTGAGCCTTAATCTACTGCTATTTCAGTCAGCAATTGTGACTCCGAAGTTACCAGCCTGCTTCTCTAGTGATGGCCCAGCCACTCAGGCTGCAGCCTGTCGGGGATTCTGTTCCCACAGGCACCGCCTCACCTCTGCTGTTGACACTAAAAGTAGCTTTAACTAGATCTCTATCGCTCTATATACACATAAGACTCAGAGGCTGGGGTGAAAACCTGCTAGCTCAGAGAGGTTAAGTAGCATCTAGCTGACTTCTCTCCTCGCTGGCATCCCCCAAAGATCTCATCCTTCCGCTGCACCAAACAAAAAGAGCTGCATCACTCCAAATCCCCCCCTCCTCCTTCTGGTGCATCTCGATCTCTTCCAGACCCTCTGGTGCTCTGTGAATACTCTCTGTCAACTAGGAGCTAACTCAACCTCCTGACCCAAGGTTAATTCTACTTAATTAACGCAAATGCAAACTGTTCACAGTATGATTGAATATCCCCCAACAAATTAACTTCCACAGCAACATGTGATCTATCACGGGTGCCATTCACCTATTTACAGGAGACTTATTGAGGTAACTGGGAGCCAGGCTTTGTGACACACACCTGTAAGCCCAGCAGTCACAAGGTAGAAGGATCAGGAGTTCAAGGTCATCTTTATCTATATAGTGATTTCAAGGTCATCCTAGGCTATACTATCTCAAAAAAAAGAAAAGGGCTACTGTGCAGCCATGCCTGTGGTGAGATCCGGCACCCTTTCTCCCCTCCTACATCATCAGAGACTGGGGTCCCTCTGCTCCTGGTACCTCACTGTACCTACAAACAGTCGGCACCAGCACCTGAGGTGCTGCTCTGTAAGAAGAGCTGTGGCAAGGAATGTACACAGAGCAGTCACTTTGGAAGAGTCTGTGTTCCCTCAGATCGTCAAGTAAACTCCATGGCCTGGCAACCCCGCTCTATATCCCACAAAATTGTGTCCCCAAATGCTCACTCCATCACTGGTCACAAAACCAAAAAGTGGCAAGAAGCCAAGTATCTGTCAGCCCACCAATGGACAAAGAAATGTGGCTGAGCCATAGAGTGGGATACACTCGTTGGCCCTAAAAAAGAAAATGTGAGACACACATGCTTTCAAAAGGTGATGCTACAGTTGGGCGGTGGTGGCACACGCCTTTGATCCCAACATTCTCAAGGCAGAGGCTGGCAGGTCTCTGAGTTCGAGGCCAGCCTGGTCTACAGAACGAGTTCCAGGACAGCCAGGGATACATAGAGAAACCCTATCTTGGAAAAAAACAAAACAAAACAAAACAAAAGCCCGAAAAAACAAAAAAAGATGATGTTAAGTGAAAGAAGCCAGACACAAGGGCCACAGAGCAAAGTGCAGGGAGAAGAGGAAACCCGGGGTGAGTGAGGAGGTCCTGAGTGAGTGTGTACTTGGACATGAGCATGGACTCCAAGACCAACTGGCCCATGGGAAATTAGCAAAGCCATCACTCATACCGGCCAGGCTCAAAAAAGAAAAAAAAAAAAAAGAGCCAGGCGGTGGTGGCGCACGCCTTTGATCCCAGCACTCGGGAGGCAGAGCCAGGCGGATCTCTGTGAGTTCGAGGCCAGCCTGGACTACCAAGTGAGTTCCAGGAAAGGCACAAAGCTACACAGAGAAACCCTGTCTCGAAAAAAGCAACATGTTTGGATAAAAGTTTAACTAAAAAAAAAAATTAGTATAGCAATGACAAATGGGCTGAGAAGGAAATCAGGGCAGCAATACTCTTCACAATAACCACAAAAAAAAAAAAGAAAAGGCAAAATTTTCTGAGTGTGACTGTTTACGAACCATTCATCTGTATGTGAAGAGACTAGCAACTGTACCTTCCTCCTGGATAGTCAGAGCCCGAGACCACTGTCTATAGAGACCTACAGAGACTAGCTGGCCTCCCCCTGTGATGTACCTAATACACACGCTGAGGCTGCAGGTTATTATATACAGTGGCAGTTAGAGGACCCGCCCTGACCTATCCCAGTTTCTCAGTCCTTCCCAACCCCTAGCGAGGGTTCCGGGAGCCAGCTGCAAAGGAATAGCTCCATTGATGTGAAATGCAGGGACAGACAAGCGCTCAGTGGCTCATTGCTGAGAAGATGCCGACTCTCTCTGCTGGTACTGAAAGACCTGGGGCTCCTCGGGAGTGCAGGGTACACAGTATTGTACAGAAAGCCAGTGGCACTCACGTGACATTATGGAGACCTAACTTAACTGACAATAAAGATGCGGGGTGGGGGGGGGGCTCAGTGCTTGATCTGGGGTGATGGGGTTCGGTGCTTGGTCTGGGGTGAGTGGGACTCGGTGCTTGATCTGGGGTAGATGGGGCTCAGTGCTTGGTCTGGGGTGAGCGGGGCTCGGTGCTTGCTGAGAGGAAAACACTGACCACATGTGCAGGGTGCTGTTCAGACAGACCGCACTTCTCCTGTGGAAAACACCCTCCTCAACCAACAGATGAGCCATAACGGACGCTGAGCCAGAGGCTTACACACAGGGGAGGGAGGGCTTCCCTATTACCACCCCATTCTAACCGCAAAGGCAGCCTACCTCCCGTCGTGCGGATCTTCACATTCTCAGGGACAACGCCATCTCGCTCTTGGTGCACTTCCAGATCGATGGTGCATTTAATATCAAAATTCCTCAGGAAAGCCACTGGGGCATTCTGCAGACACTGCCCCGCTAGGGACACCTGAGGGCAAGGGACAAATATGGTACACCGATTTCTCCTTCCCGTCTTGAGAGCATTCCCAAGCGTGGTGTTCAAGCCTGTGATCCTGAGCACTTGGGGGCGTTCAGGCAGGACTGCTCTAAATTCAGGACCAGTCTAGGCTACAGTGTGCCACCCTGCTTCAAAGCTACCCGACTCCAAGTTGCTTTCCGCTGCCCACAGCTACTGCTGGACAAAGTCAAGTTAGGACTCAAGGTGACCAGTTTTAGGGAGTCAAGATCTGGAAGCCATTACTCAGCCAAGTCTTCTCTCATACACTCGGGGAAGGGCCCTGGCCCTGTCCACGAACGAGTCACGGCTATATTCAACCTTAGCGCTCCCTCATCACAACCTGAATTATTGAGGGAGGTGGGAAAGTCAGGGCCCCACACGGAATAACAATAAACTCTACTGCTAAGGACCACCTCCTGCCCCCAGAGAGTTTCAATAACATAAAAAGTTTCACAGGAAGCCGGGTGGTGGTGGTGCACACCTTTAATCCCAGCGCTCGGAAGGCAGAGGCAGGAGGATCTCTGTGAGTTCGAGGCCAGCCTGGTCTACAGAGTGAGTTTCAGGACAGTCTGGGCTACACAGAGAAACTCTGCCTCCAAACAAATAAACTAACAAAAAAACAACAACAAAAAAGTTTCACAGGAATAACAAACTGTCATGCATCCTACTCTTTCCTCCCACAGGCAAGGTGTCCTACTAATGATGGACTTGAGAAAAAACAAAGATTTCCCAAAAGACTTTCTAGCCTTCAAGGATGTTTCAACATTCCGAATGTTATATACGTCACACACTTAGAGCTTCTTGGAAATTGCTGGGGCTGGGGATGTAGCTTGGCGGTAGAGCACTTGACTGGAGTACCCAAGACCCTCCGTTCCAGTCCCAGCACCACAAAACCACAAAATACCAAAAGGGAATGAAGTGGAGGCTGGCCACTGCCTCTGAGGAGTCTGCACAGAGACTCCTGGTGTTGTTAGACACGCTGTGACTTAGTGAAGACGGGCGCGTGTGCGTGTGCGTGTGCGTGTGCGTGTGTGTGTGAAGAATGAGTCTTTTCAATCTAGAGACTGTTAATAGTCAATGTACAAGAGGAAAATCAGCTGCTTAGGAGGAGAGTCTTACAGATGGACGACACTAGCTAAATCCGAGCGTTGAAACAGAAGGCGTTACCTGAGGGACGGTGAGATACCCCGTCGTGGTCATGATGGGATCTCCTTGTTTGTAACCGGCATCCATGAAGTCTCTTAGGTCGAGGAGCAGATGGGCTTCAAAGGCGGGGTCATGTCTGGGGGAACTGCAAGTTGGTAAGAGAGATTATGCATGGGCCCAGGGTGTTTGCTTAGCCTGCAAACAGGCTCAAGTTCCATTCCCCCCACCCTACCCCACCTGCACCCTTAAAAAACAAAAAAAGATGATTGAAAACACTACAATGATTTGCTGAGACACAAATCACCCTTTAATGCTTCCTCTTTGCTTTGATATAGGGGCTCATGCAGCCCAGGCTGGCCTCAGACTCTCTATATAGCCAAGAATGACCTTGAACTCCTGATCCTCCATCTCTGCCTCCTGATTGCTGGGGTTTCAGGGATTCAACCCCAACCCCAGCTCTTCTTTGTTTTATTTACAAAGATCATAGTTGTAAATTTTTCAGCGAGGGGTGTGTGTGTGTGTGTGTGTGTGTGTGTGTGTGTGTGTGTGTGGCAGTGACAGTGGCGGTGGTGGCGGAAGTGGTGTCGCACGCACGTCTTTAATCCCAGCACTCGGGAGGCAGAGGCAGGCGGATCTCTGTGAGTTCGAGGCCAGCCTGGTCTACAGAGTGAGTTTCAGAACAGCCAGGGCTACACAGAGAAACCCTGTCTCAAAACAACAACAACAACAACAAAGATACTAAACTATAAGACACAGAAAGTTCAAGTCCCTGAGGGCCCCTGGCTCCTTCACCCATGCCGGAAAGTCATTGCCAACGGCCGGCTGGATCTGCTGGGGTTTTTTCTCAGTTCTTTCCGACACTTTGGGAGAAATGGCCTCGCTAACGGCAACCCAGTGAGGAAAACATGCGACCCAAGTCAAGGGCCGGTAAAGGAAACCTGGTGAGCCTAGGGAGCAGGCCCCTCCCGGCAGCAGCTGCTCACATGGCGCCGTGGTAGAAGTGGCCGAGGAACGGTGAGGTGGCAGGGGGTGACAGCACACAGAGGAAGGGGAACCAGTCAGGGGTCTCGAGGGCAGTGCCAGCCGCACAGAGCTGGTGGGAGGGAGGGTTGACATCCCCTCCGAACACGCCGGAGAAGCAGGCCAGCTGGAACAGCTCTCGCACCTCCGGCTGGCAGTCCTTGAAAACGGAGAAAAGGACAGTGAAGGCACCTCAGCGCCAACTGCGACACCGGCCCCAGCTCGCAGCAGCAAGCATGACCACACAGCCCCTGAGGCCACCGGCCTGCGACCCAGCAGCCAAGAAAGCAATGCATCTCAACCACATACAATCATATTTGTGCAAAATTCCCGGGGTACTATCGAACATGCTTCTCATTTCTCTTAAATTTAAGATTTTAAGATACGAATTAGAAACCAGGTGTGGTGGTTTGTGCCTACAATCTTGGCACTCAGGAAAGTTGAGGCAGGAGGATTGCCTTACGTTTGAGGCCAGCCTAGATTACACGGTGAGACCTTGTCACCAAAAAAATAAAATAAAATAAAATAAAAAAAGGTGTGTGTGTGTGTGTGTGTGTGTGTGTGTGTGTGTGTGTGTGTGTGGTGTGTATGTGTGTGTGTGTGTGTTGTGTGTGTGCATGCACGTGACTCAGCATGTCAAGGTGCTTGCTGCCAAACCTGAGTTTGATTCCTGGAACCTCCTACAAGCTGTTCTCTGACCTCCACATGTACAATGTGGCATAAGCCTCTATAACTGTCCTCAACACACACACACCACACCATTCGCCACAAATAAATAAATGTCATAAAAATTCTATAGTAAGATTAAGATCATCCTTTAGCTATAGCTTTCCCAAACGTGAGTTTACCCAAAGACATAGACTTTTCTCTTTCCTCCACAAACTACAGACTCTACCAGAAGAGAAAATACTCAATTCAAACACAATCTGCAAGCCGGGCGGTGGTGGCGCACGCCTTTGATCCCAGCACTCGGGAGGCAGAGGCAGGCGGATCTCTGTGAGTTCGAGGCCAGCCTGGGCTACCAAGTGAGTTCCAGGACAGGCACCAAAACTACACAGAGAAACCCTGTCTCAGAAAAACAAAACAACAACAACAAAAAAACCACAATCTGTAACTCGGAGGTAGAGGAAGAAAGATCAAGAGTCCAAGGCTACCCCTCTGCCACACTGAGAGTTCCAGGCCAGCTTGGGCTACATGAGACCCTATCTGGAAAAACAAACAAACCAATGATTTAAAAATGAAATATAATCCCTGTCGTCACCTATCCAAAGCTGCGGGGGGCAACTGCTGGTGTTTCCCAAATGGACTCAGGTAGCCTGGTAAACGGAAAGAACTCACTTGGTCACAGCAGCAGCGGATGTCACAGGCCTTGGCTGTCAAGTCGCAAGGGCAGGGACCCAGAGGATGATAGACTTGGTTGGGAATGACAGTCGTGTTATCTGAAAAGCACATATGGGCAGAGAAAGTTCAGCTACGAAGCAGTTCCACAAAGCATGGACACATTTTTGAGAGTCACAAAATGCTGAATCATGATGTATAAGAGTGTGTGTGTGTGTGTGTGTGTGTGTGTGTGTGTGTGTGTGTGTGTGTGTACATGCATGTGTGTGTGTGCACATCATGTGTGTGGAAGCAGAGCCTGAAGTCAGGTGTTTTCTCTTCACCTTAGCTGCTGTTGGTTTTGACTCAGGATCTCACTATATAGGCCTGGCTGTCCTTGAACTCAGAGAGATCCACTTGTCTCTGCCTCAAGAGAGCCAGGACTACAGGTGTGCACCACCATGCCAGGTATTCCACCTTACGTTTCTAAAGCAGTTTCTCACTGAACCTGGAACTCCCTGACTTGGCTAGGCTGAGTGTACATGGGAACCTAGTAAGGAAAATACTTCAAAGACTTATTTTGGCTGGGTGATGGTAGTGCACACCTTTGATCCCAGCACTCAGGAGGCAGAAGCAGGAGGATCTCTGTGAGTTCAGGACCAGTCTGGTCTACAGGGTGAGTTTCAGGATAGCCAAGGATACACAGAGAAACCCTGTCTCCAAAAAAAAAGATTTTTTTATTTTTTTTTTTTTTGTTTTTCGAGACAGGGTTTCTCTGTGTAGCTTTGCGCCTTTCCTGGAACTCGCTTTGGAGACCAGGCTGGCCTCGAACTCACAGAGATCCGCCTGGCTCTGCCTCCCGAGTGCTGGGATTAAAGGCGTGCGCCACCACCGCCCGGCAAAAGATTTATTTTTAATGTATGTGTATGTGTGTATGTGTGTGTATACATGAGTGTGGGTGCCAGGTGAGATCATTGGAGCCTCCGAAGCTGGAGTTCCCCATCTGTGAGCCACCCAATCAAGAAGCTGGGAACTGTATCTGGGTCCTCTGGAAGAACATGCACCCTTCACCCCTGAGCATCTGCGGCCCACAGAGGAAATCACTTTCAAAGCAAGGGTCTCCAGCAAGTATTTTCCTCTTTACCAGCTTCCTCCAGGAGCTTCCTGAAAGACACACTGGATATTTTCTTGGCTCGTTTTGCATTTTAAGCATTAAAAACAACAACAAAAAAAAAAACAAAAAAAAACCAACATTGCTTTCTTCAGAAAGATGCCTTTTTCTTCCTTTAAAAAATGTTTGAGCTGGGTATGGTGGCTCGTACCTGTCATCCTAGCACTTGGGAGGCAAAGGCAGGAGGGTCAAGGAGCTCAGGCTAGCCTCGGGTACATGGTGTGCTCCAGGTCATCCTGGGCTATGTGAGTCTCTGTCTCAAAACACCAACTGAAATTAGGGCATGGTGGTGCACACCCATGATCCTAGCATTCAGTTTCTGAAGTAGGATGATTTTGAATTAGAGTCTAACCTTAGCTCAGTAAGATCAAGTCCAGCCATAGCTACACAGGCAAGAGATGCTGGAGCCTGCTGCAGGCAAGAGAACCTCGGTGGGAGCATTTACAGCAAGCAGCCCTCACGGCTTTTTGTTTGTTTGTTTGTTTTTGTTTTTTAAAGAACCATGGTATTATGATGTAGCTCAGGCTGTCCTCAACTTACTATGTAGCCAAGAATGATCTTGGATTTCCTAATCCTCCTGCCTCTGCCTCCCAGTGCTGGGATTACAGACAAGCATGACCTTGCTCGGTTTTCTGCATTGCTGGGAATTGAACCCACAGCTTTGTGTGTGCTAGGCAGGCACTCTACCACATGAGCTGCGCCCACAGTCCCTTCTTTTTTTTTGAATTTTAGAAAGAAGTTTATTATAGATTCATAGGTGGGAGCTTAAGAGGGAGAGAGAGCCTTATCAGTGAGCGAGACACAGAGGTCAGCCACATGGTGGACCAGCAGCCACATAGAGAATGCATGCTTAGGCTCCTGCCGTCATCTGAACAGCAGAAGAGGAGAAGAGAAAGTTTGTGTTGGGCCCTTTCGAGTCAGCACTGAGAAAGGCGGCCAGCCTCCATTAGTGTCTGATCAATAATATCTTAAGTACAGCCATGGGAATCAATGCATGGAAACAAATTATACCTTCTCCCCAAAGGACATAAAGTGGTTACAAAAAGATGTGTCAGGAGAGCCAGACAAGTGTGTGTGTGTGTGTGTGTGTGTGAATTTGAGACAGGGTCTCTCTATGTAGCTTTGGTTGTCGTGGAACTCACTATGAGACCAGGCTGGCCTTGAACTCACAGACATCTGCCTGTCTCTGCCTCTGCCTCCCAAGTGCTGGGATTAAAGGCATGCAGTCCCTTGGCTAGATCTTAATTAAATAAAATGATACAAAGCAAAAACCTCAAAAACAAACAAAAATAGTACATTTATGAAGGCAGGAGAGATTCAAAAGTTGAGTCTAGGTGTCTGGAAAGATGGCTCAGTGGTCAAGAGAACCCTCTGTTCCTGCAGAGGACCTGGGATCTGCATGTAATCCCAGGTACTTGGGATCTGATGCCCTCTTCTGGCCTGTTCAGGGTCCTGCACACACACTGTGCACATATACTCACCCAAACACACACACATACATACAAAATTAAAAAAAAAAATTAACTCAGGAGGCAGGGGCAGCAGATTTCTGTGAGTTCAAGGGCAACCTGGTCTACATAGTGGGTTCTAGGTCAACTAGGGCTACACAGTGAGACCCTGTCTCAAAATAAATAACAACAAATCAAAATAACAATAACAAAAACAAAATAACAACCAGAGAGTCCCATCTCGTAACTGCCCACACTACACAATCTTCAGACAGTGACAGACAGAAATGTTTTGCCCATAGACGTCGCTTGCCTGATGCACTGTGGGTCACAGACGTGTTGGGGTAGATCTCCACCTGAATGAGCAGGTGCGCCAAACAGGATGCATTGTGGGAGGCCGAAACCAGCAGAGTCTGCACGACGCACGGGAGCTCTGCGAAGGAGGCGGTCCGGTTCGGGGCGCACCAGTGCGGACCCCTCTTCCACCGCACTGTCACTTCCAGCCCGCTCTGAAAGGAAAACATGGCTGTGACTCACCGTGAGCAGCTGTAATGATGAGAAGGCGTCAC